GGTCCACAAGCTTTAAATGGATCAAACATATTAATTGCCCATTTTACTTTGACATTCGTGATGATACTTGCAGCTCATTTCCAGTCGTCCTCTGTTGGTTTTAGATCGGTGACTGTGACAGGCTGTGCTGTCTCTTCTGCCCCAGGAAAATGTACCTAGAGAAGATGCTGGAGCACACTTTCTTGTGTGACTGGCAATCCTTCTGGTGGAATAATGAAGGATAGTTGATTGACTGGATCTTTTCTTAGAAGCTTGTACAGCTTAGAAGAGGCACTAGGCCCTTTAACTTCTTCGCAGAACTTCCTCCAAGAAAGCCTCTTACACTCCCTTAGAARACTTTTATAGTGATTGCAGGACTTTGCATACTGTTCCCACCTGGTTTTGCTTGGTTGGGATCTGTATCTTTGCCATTTACATCTTGCTGCCTTACGGAGGCCAGACAACTCTGAAGTCCACCAAGTCGGCTGCTTTGAAGGCCTCCAGATTTTCTCCGGACAGGCAGACTTATGAGCAGTTTGCACAGCATCAGTCATGCTTGTGACCTCTGTTTCAATGTCTTGCACAGTTTTAATCCTGGCAATTCTTCCACCCATCAACTGGGTTAAACTGCTGGTAAACAGATTCCAGTCAGTGGTTTTTGGGTTTCTGTAAGTGACTGGGTGTGGTTTCCCCATCTTCAGCTTAAACTGAATACGTCGATGGTCTGACATGGTTTCCTCTGGGGACACCTCCCAGTCACATATACTGTTTACCAAGTCCATGGACCTGACTGTTATATCAATGACCTCCTCGCTATTAACGTTTGGAATGTAGGTGCATTGCCCTGATTAAGAATAAGTAGATCTTCTGTCATCAAATATTCTAACAGTGACCTGCCTCTAGGGTTAATATCAGAGCTCCCCCAGCACACATGATGGGAGTTGGCATCACAGCCTATGAGTACAGGGAGGCCCTTATCTTTGGCATAATTGACTATCGCCATGAACTCCTGTGATGGAGGTGGCTGCTGTGAGTCAAATGGCAGGTATGCAGAGGCTGCAATAATTTGTCTGGATTCACCATTTGACTGAATATCCAACTGCACTGTTACAGCATCTCCTGTTGTTAGATGGGGCAGTGCAGTGTATCTCACGCCTCTTGTCAGGGCTATTGCTGCTCTTGATCTTTGGCTGCTCACATCATATAAAAYTGAGCCCCCAGGAAATCCCAGGCCTCTTCCCATAGATTTTACAATCCAAGGTTCTTGGATCAAAGCTATGCCTGTGTGCATCCTGCTAAGGCAAGTACACAGCAATGTACTGGCCTCTTTACAGTGATGCAAGTTGCTCTGAATGAATTCCATCATTCCCACAGCCACAGAGACTGGAGGTAAGATAGGATTCACTACTTGGCCTCACTAATTGCTTTGCCACTGACCTTAAAGGTCAGCCGGCTCAGCTCATAGTATGGCCTGTTCCCCAGACCTGCTAAGACATCTAGAGACTTGTCGTCCACACCAAGAAGCAGAAACTGACCAGTAGTCTGCCGCTCAACGTGAACAACCCTCCAGACATCCGTTTGCAGTCCCGGGTTCTGTCTCCGGAGTCGGCGCAGAATCACCTGTGGTTCTGCAGATTTCCCAGGCACAAATACCCCGACTCTCTTGAGAACTGGGAGGTCCCGGACTCTCTTGACAGAGAATCCATGGCCCTCCCAATTAGGGATCTGGGAGACAGCACGTACGAGCCATTCCATGGCTGGTTCGTTCGCGCAGGTCACTCGAAAGGTGCCCTGCACAAGACCTGACTCACTGAACCATGGCACCGGATGGTCGTCCGGCACCTGGTCAATGAGCCCCACCAGGCTGGCCCGCATGGGTTCGCTTTCCTCTTTTGTCAGAGGTCAGTTTGGGTCATCATCTTTCTAGATGATGACCTGCAAGACCCCGCCAGCAGCCAGTGCCATTGAAGGCCTGTTGCAATGTTTTTTCGGGGCCTGGGCACTCCTGGAGTCGAGACTGTAACCCTCTTCCTCTTACGAGAAGAAGTCCCTGCTCCATCTCCAGCACTGGTTTTACTCTGGCTCCGAAGCCAGAGTAAGAGTTGTTCCAGTCACTGTACTAGCCTGCCCAGCCTGGTTCCCCACCAGACAGACCAGAGGCACTGTTGTAAGACCACCTGTGGCACCCGCATCCGAGCCTTTGGAAGGCTCTTTTGCCAACTCCCCCTTACCAGCCACCAAACATGAAGAAGATTTCTTCTTCCTCTTCTTCTTCCTTTTTTCTTAAGGTCTTGAAGGGAGAGACCCTATAGATCTCCTGAGAGTTCATCTCCCCCCTTGACCTTTCCTCCATCAGAGGACCCCAACAGCATGTCGGTGTCCTCATCACTTAAACACTCAAGCACTTGTGCGGCCCCGACCCCTCCCCAAAGAGGTGCAATCAAGGGGCTACCCTCGTGCTGAGTACTCCTGGTAGACCCAGGCAGAATGCCTTGCCGTCACCGAGTCCCCAGGCACTAAGTCCTCCGGTTGTCCAGAGCCCAACACATAAGTATCAGGCTCCGAAGCCAGAGTAAGAGTTGTTCCAGTCACTGTACTGGCCTGCCCAGCCTGGTTCCCCACCAGACAGACCAGAGGCACTGTTGTAAGACCACCTGTGGCACCCACACTCAAGGCGCCACAGGCTGGGTCCCCGGAGATTTTAGAACACCCTTTTGCCGGGTACTGGGGGCCGGTCCCTTGTCTGCTCATCATAAAATTCTTGCTGACTTGCCATCCACCAGGGGTAGACAGCTAACGAGTGTTGACAATACCCGGGTTTTATATCAGAGTTTTCCTTCTCCTAGGCGGGTTGCCTGCCATGGCTAACGAGCCCCACCTGCCCGGCTGCTTTTGGTTCACGGCACCCTATTCACCTTTCAGCTTATTTCAGTCTCTCGATGTGCAAACCTGATAGAGACATACCCCAAGTGACTTGCAGCTGTAATCGCAGCAAAAGCTCTATAAAGTATTACCACAAATCTGGTCAAGTAATTTTGCACGCTCAATTTTTTTATTTATTTAAAAAGTTTAAAATATCCAAAAAATTTAATTCCACTTCACATCTGTGTCCTACTTGTTGTTGATTCTTCACAAAAAAAAATCAAAAATTTATATCTTTATGTTTGAAGTCTGAAATGCAGCAAAAGTTCAGCCTCCGAATACTTTTGAAAGGCACTGTATGTAAAAGTTACAGTTTTCTGAAATTGTACCGGATGGACAGATGAACAAACAGAGAGCATTTCTATGTCCCCCTGCCTTGGCGACAGAGGACAAAAACTGTAAATCTGAACATCAAAAATTAAATGTGAAATGAAAATGAACTTACACTAAAAGGTTTTCCCTTCAATTAGAACATTTATAGGGTTAAGATGAAAACAACAACACTAAAACCCTGCTAGTGCATAATCAGCTGGTGTGTGAATGTTTCTGGTCTATTGAACTAAATAAAATAGAAATAGCTTTTATTGTTCCTTAGTGGGGAACTTTAGTCACTAAAGGAGCTCTCAGGCTCAGCAAACAGCTTCACATAGCTAGGATTTCTATTAAATTAGTCTGCCTGTTTAGTTTTTTTGGTTAGTTTAGTTTTTTTTTTAGTTAAATGGATGTTGTGCATGTTCTTTTTCCTGTTGGTGCAACATGATCTTTGTAGACTGACTCCGGCATCTAGCAAAAATAGGACTGAATCTAATTTTGGTGGAGTAGGACACCTTCAGAGACTGTGAATGTAATGTATAATAAGAATGAAGTGGAATTAAGGTTTGGATTTATCTTTATTTATTTTTTAAAAGAGCCCCGATTTGACCTTTGTTGTTAATTGGCTTCAGGCATGTCCAACTGGGAGGAGACCCCGAGGAAGACCCAGGACACGCTGGAGAGACTGTCTCTCGGCTGGCCTGGGAGAAGCTTTGAGTCCTTTCAGAAGAGATGGAAGAGGTGGCTGGGGACAGAGAGGTCTGGGCTTCCCTGCTTAAGCTTCTGCCCTCGTGACCTGACTTCGGATAAAGCGGAAAAAGATGGATGGATGGATGTATGTATGTATGTATGGATGGATGGATGTTTCTTTGTTTGTGGTATAACATTGTGTAAACACCATATGTCAGATATGCTGCAGAAACATGAAGATGTTTATTTCTTGCCATGTGATGGGGACATGTGATCCACTGACACTACTTAAACTCCCAACCTTGGAAGCAGGTGCAGTGTTATTCTGAAAAAGCCAATGAGCAGCAACATCATTAGTTTTCAAGTTTGGTTCATAATGTGAGCATGTTTCTACCATCTGTTTCCAACCTGTACTGCCTGTCCCTCAGATGATTGTACTGTAAGGGAGGTGTTTATGATCTCTGGATGTTGGCAGCTTCACCAGAGAGAGGACTGCAGAGCACTTCTGGGACTCGGCACACTAAAACCGCACTTTTGACTCTAGATTATTGACACAGCTGCTATGCTGCTGCAGTTCCAGGGGCGGTGAACAAATCTGAGCGCAACTCCCTACATTCTTCTTTTAAATGTCATTAAGTGCTCCACACACACAACTCAATTCTGATTGTGCTGAAATATGAGTACATAAAGTCTCTGTTGCTGGGTCATTCAGAGGATACCTTGCCTACACAAGCAGTGCCACAAAAAGTAATACTGTATCTTGATGTGTCCACGGACATAAATTGTTCTTGTTTTTCTTTAAAAATCTGGTATTGAAAGGATGACAACTAGCTTCAGCAAGAAAAACAATACGGAGGCTCAAGTGGTTTAGTAGAGGAGGTAAAAGTAGCATCTCACTAAAATACCTTAAACATTCTCAGTTTTTCATGAGTCACAGGGGCTCATCTTGTCTCTTGAATTTTGAACACATTCCAAAAAAATTGAGACAAACTTACATGCAAAATAGTTGCAAAGTTGTGGGCATCTCAAACACTTCTCAGTTAAAAACAGTTAAAAAAAACCATGCTAATGATAATTTATTTCAAAACCTGGTCCAAATCTGCCTGTACTCCTGTAGATTAAACAAATCACAGACAGTTGCCAAGGTGAGTGCGAAACAGTGTGGATGAAGGTGGGCACTGAAATAATGTGGATGGCCTAAAAATGAAAATTTCCAAGCCATACACACAAAAATAGGCCACGTGGCATACTGGTTATTTGGTTGCAAGCACGCAGTGTTCAGTGAGACTGCAACTGAAAATGTGTCTATTTATGTTTTCCA